TCATGTCCATGACCCAGCAAAGCAAGGATGGGGCAGGATGACTGCCTACTTTACCCACAGGTTGCAGAGAAGGTCAAATCGTTTGTGGTTGATCTTTGGTCATCCATCACCTATTCAGCTTAGCAAAAAGTTGTTTCAAAAGAAAGAAATGCCAGGGTTTTTCACCTTGGTCAGGCTCTGGGCACATTAGGAAATTTGGCCTTATCTATCTTTATGACACAGATGAAGCGGCAGGTGTTCCCAGCTGGAGCACTCAACTGTGACAGACAATTCTGTTCCTGCCCTACCGCACGTGGCCCCCACCCTGGAAGCAGGAGGAGTGTGAGCTCCCAGGCCCAGCACCCAGAGCCTAACACCCCATATCCCAAAAGGGTCTCCGAGCCCAGAGGCTCTGTCAAGATTTAGGAGCAGAGAGTTCACTGCACCCGACTTGTGTGGCATATTGAGTCTCACAGATCTGTCATTCTGTGCAAAGCTTCTCTTAGTGCAGCCCACACAGCTAATGGCTGTGCTATATTTCTCTCAGTTTTCCCTCCTCCACCCACAGCTCTGCTGACTTCTCTCCACACAGGGAGAGACGGAACAGCTGAGGAAACAGCCCAGCGGTGGAAAATTTTTGAAAGTGTTTTGAGCCCACCCAACCTGGGGAGAGCATTCAAAGAAAAACAGGAAAGGGAGGGTAGGAGCTCCCTCAGCCCCCGCACAACTCGCCAGGGATTGTCACTCCCGCCCACTCCCAGTCCCAGCAGGGACCAACTGCTGGGATGAGCCACCGGTGCCCCCACACAAAAATATGCAAATGTGTTTTCTGTGAGGATTATGGAATGGAGGCAATTGCTGGGCTATTTCAGACACTGCGTCATGGAACTTGGGAGCACAACAGGCTCATTCCATTCAAACACCCACCACAGGAGCTGAACCAACACCTATGGTCTTAAATCGGAATATCCTAGAGGCCATCATATCCTAGAGAACAAATGCAGGTTTCCGTGTGTGTGTGTGTGTGTGTGTGTGTGTGTGTGTGTGTGTGTGTGTGTGTTTTCACATTCTTCAACCTTTTCATTTCCTTCCAACTTCTCTTCCTACTCCAGACCAGAACTTTTAAGGCTGTCTGTCTTTTCAGGGACTGAGTGGGAGAAAGAGATGTGAATTCATTTAGTTCTTAGTTCTCTCTCTTCTTTGCTCGAGATTCCAGCCAGTTAGACTTGGATTTGGCAAGCACAAAAGATTGGCTAATCCCATCATTCATCCACTCATTCATTCATTAAACAGACATTTATATACACAGACATTAAACATCTATACAGACAATATCCCAGTCCTCTCCCAGTCAAACTGAGTCACATAAAAAAGAAGTAATTGCTGATCCCCTTACTTTCCTGCAATGGCCTCTGGATTAATTTTTGGATCTGGTTTAGCATAGGCTTTTTTTTTTTTTTTTTTTTTTTTTTTTGCATAGAACCTAGAACTGAAATAAGAGTTATTTAACCAATGGATAAGCAAGATTATAAGTGGCCTTCACTATCTGTGACCCATGAAAAGGTTTCTAGCCTGTAGTTTAGACTAGACCTCTCTCCTAGCTAAGTATCCAAACACTAAAATTAACTCATTCACCATCCTTCTTTACTTCGTTGGCAGTTTTGTTTTTCCCCCATTTTGAATAAGAGATTATCTTCAAAGCTGTTCAGACTTTCCTTATTGGAGTCAGTATTATGTGTGCAATCCTAATTGATATTTGCCCATTCAGGTAATATATATTTATTGAGTCGCTACAATATGCCAAACACTGTCCCAGGCACCGAGGTTGCAACCTTACGTAATGATCCCTCCATGTAGTCAAGTGAAGTGGGATCAGGCAACCCTAGGGCTTGCTGTTCTTTCCAAAACATACAACAAGTGGTGTGCTGCTGGGCAGAAAGCCAAAGTGAAGGATGTGGTTCTAATAGAGGGGAAATAGGAATGGGTTGCTTTTGTGGACTGTGCTGATCAAGTTTTGAGGTTCTTTGTTTATTGATTCCTTTTCTGACTAGCTGTCTATAGTGGAAATCTTAGATATTGAGCAATATAGATCATAGTTAATGTTTTATGTTTTGACATCAGACATTTAAGGAATGTTTTAAAGTGGTTGCAAGAACCAGATGGTCAAGAGACCTAAGACACATGGCCGCTCCGAAAGAGCAGACTTTCCTTTCCCTCCCGAATTCTTAAATTGGAGAACCAAAAGAAATACAAAAAAGTTTTGCAGCCCTGGGCCTCCAAGCTTAAGGATGAATTATTTCACTTTGTGTTGATGCCCACCTAGGGTATAAGTCATTGAGGGGTGACTTTGATATGGTGCATCCGCAGTAGACTTAGCAAATGAACAGGGTAGTGGTTTGTGGCCAACAAAATTTTGCTTGCTTCAAAAAATTATCTATTGTCAGACCAGCAGTGATTCAGAGACTGGAGAGTCATCCATGGGCTGTGGATTGGACATACCATTCCACCTCCTGGCACTGGCCAGTCTTTTAGCACCTAACTGGAAAACAGCTCCCGCTCCAACACAGCTCCAACCCATCAACAAGGCTCTGCCGTGTGGAATTTCCCTTCATTTCTAAACTTTCTGGACTATATCCATTCAATAATGAAGGATACTTCTATTGTTTCATAACAACTATAAACTTCTGCTTATCCAGCCTCTCAGATGCTCTCCTTTAATGAGAAAAATAAAAATGAACCCACTGGCAAAGTCTCAACTAGGATAAACTAATGACAAGCCTTATGTTTTAATAAGTTCAACTTTTGTCATTATGAAATTGGTGGATGGCCATTGTTCCCCTACAAGTGGAACTGTAATTTGTTTCTTTGGCTTTGATAGAAGGGTTTGTTTGGAATGCATTCTTCACTGTTGATATCAAATAAACATTTGTTTTTGCTTTAAGTGCCCCAGTATGATCAGAGAAAGGAAAAACATTAATCAAAGGGGTTGTGAATGGTACTGCATTCTCTCTTTACAACCATGTTTTTTTCATGCGACAGAGGAATCTAAAGATACACAATAGCTCCCAGTGGTCAGGTTGTTGAGGTATACTAACTTAGTCTGCATATGGACTCCACCATTACTACCTTGGCCAAATTATTTAACCATCCTGAGCCTCATTTAATGGAGATCACTTCCTCCTAGGATGGTAGAAAGGGCTAAATGAGACTTAGCACAGTTCTCGGCACGTTGAAGGCCCTCAGTGAATGCCACCTCCCCTCTTGCTTTCCCTCCTCTTCTCCCTGTAGCCACATTTATTAGATGACATCACAGTTCCCTCAGTGGCATGGCTACTAGGTCTCAGAGTTTCCAGGTTTCTGCTGATTAAGAATCCAACTGTGCTGATGTTATTTATGCAAATGCCAGCTGGGGAACTGGTGCCATAGCAAGGATGAGTCATTCCAGAACACTCCTCAGAGAGAACTCGATTTTCCTCCCTGAGGTAGGAGAAGAGTGGGAGAGACTACTCAGGGACTCAGCACTCTTGACATAATGTTCTCATAGCATCAGAAGTTTTTATAGAAAAGGTACAGGGCTCCTCGTAGCCACATTGAATAGAGGTCAGCAGCATGGGCTTGGAAACCTAACAAAGCAGGGCTTGAATCCCGATTGCCACTCACTAGCTGAATAGCCTCTCAAAGTATCTGCTTTCTGTCAGAGTCCTTCTGAAGGTTAAATAAGGCAACACATATAAAGCATCCAGGCTATCGACGAGGCACGTGGTAAATGCTCAATAAAAGTCAGTTATACTCTCCCTCTGAGTGTCTCTGTCCCTGTCTCCCCTGCTCTGCCTCTTCTTTTTCTTTTGCCCCTTCTCTCCACCCTCCATTCCTCTGGCCTGGCCTGCTTTCCCCTCCCAGCTATTTGCTGAGCTTTGAAGCCTGCCTTTCAGCAATTGGCATGTTAGCAGAGATGCACATTTATTCTGATCTCACTTCTGCTGAAATGCCTACATCCTACCCGTCCATACCCCTCTCAACATTAATTCATCTTTTGATCATTATTTTGTCAACCTGGTCTTCACACACTTGAAAGAAACTATAATTATTGTTCAGTTGTATGAAACTTCACATCGGAACTAAATAAACAGTTGTTGATTGATCATGAAAATAAGAGCTTAATAATAGACTTTATTGAAAAGCTGTCTAATTTCACACCATTATTTCTAAGTCCCATAACCTACCACAGTAGTTTATCTCAGTAAATTTGTTTTTTTTAACTAAAAATGTCTCTATCAAAATATAAATTTTAATAATAGTGGTCTTAATACTCATAATGGAACATGAAGTTGTCCTATTACCATGAAGCAGAAGTTAAGACAACACAGCCTTCGTAAATGAATTAACGTTTACCATATGCCCATTGGATGCACAGGCATTTATTGATAAATTTTAGCTTCATAATTTTAGTGAGAAAGCTTTACATTTTTTTCCTGCAAAATCTCTACATTCTTCATGCTCTTAGGCAGGTATGTCTCTGTGATTATATATTTAATTAGCTCCTTTAATACTAGCAATATATTATGGAGATATTCAAATTTACATTTTACATTTATACATTACAAATACATATTTACATTGTAGACAAACTCATCATTTGTTTTCTGAACTAGGTGGTACCTATTCTAAAATAACTAAAATGAGCATAAAATATGTATAAATCCTGTCTAATGATTCAGATTAAATTTACCTCAAAAAATGTTCACTTACATTTTTCTTACAAGGGATTTATTATTGTAGCATATATTTTATTACAAACTTATCTGCATTGTAGCATATGTTTTATTACAAACTTAGAGTTCATTGGTGAATAGTGATGGAGCTGCAAATCAAGTCAATTTAATTAGCTCGGCAGGATTTCAGAAGTTTTTCCCCCGATGAGCATACGCACAGAGGTTAACTTTAGGCCCTGAGCTGGGATTCTGGTACCCCAGGTTCTCTCTGTGGAGCGGTGGAGTCTCCCTGTGGAGAAGGATTCTTACCTGAGGCCCTCACCCTCCAGAGAGTTCTGTCTGCAATACTCCAGGGTATAGGTCTCAGTGGCCTCTGGATTAGCAGGCTGCCATCGGATGGTGGCCGTGTTCCAACACACGGTACAGTCCTCTGCACGGATCACAGGGGTGGAGGGTGCTGTAGAGAGAGAACCAAGTCAATTGTGGGCAATGAATGCCAGTTCTGCTTCCCTGGAGCCTGGGAAGAATGTTTGGGTATGATTTTATTTTAATTTTTTATTAAAAATACATTCTGGGTTGAAAACTCGAAAGGTATAAAATGTTATATAGTGAAAACTCTCCCTCCCACCCCGCCTTCCAAAACTTGCTCAGTTTTCACTCATTCCCAACCAGCTTCTGATACTAGCTTCTTGTAAATCTTATCCAAGTTTCTTTATTATAAAAAATAAAGATTCTTGTCTTCTTCTCTGTATACAAATTTAGCCATAATCTTGCCTTCAGTAAGTGCTCAATAAATATTTGCTTTAAAAGGCAAGAGGAAACGATAAAACAGTAGGAATAACCCATTAATTCCCCTGATTAGTTAAAATTGTCTTAAAAGCAATTCAAACTTGGTTTATGCTATACCTGTTTCGCCCCTTAAAAAGGCTGCATCATGGGAATGCATTGTCAGCTAAAACCATCATAACAACACCTTTTGGGGGCTCATAGCACCCATATGATAAAACCTAAGCGTCTTAGCTTAGCAAATATTAACTCTGTACATACTAACTAAGCTATCTCACCTAAAAGCTCTCCCCCATTTGTTTTGAAGTCAAATGAATAACTCCAAACTTATTTTTGTGTCCTGCACACTCCACACTATTTCTTACCTTGATGTCTCTGCTCAAAGGATTTCTTCAAATAAATTCATCCTTTTAACACTTTACTTCCTACTGATCCTTTACAGGAGCTCATTCAGGTATCAGTTCTAGGAAGGTATTTCTTATTCTGCCCCCACTTAAGATGGACTCTGGTACCCGTCTGGAGTGTACCTGTATATAAACTGGCCCTACCACCCAAATTTGTCCGAAGTTGTATATGCCGCATTACTCAACACCCAGCGCACAATAGGCTTAATAAATGCTTATTGGTTAATCTTAATAGTCTGTGAAGGATTGAGTACTGCCTCCTAACACCCTCTTAACATCTCCTTACCTGTTCTAAAAATTGCTCTTTCGCTGGGCAGGCTACATCCGGTGAAGTTCACAGCCATTACCCACACTTGATAGTATCGGTCAGGTTCCAAATCTTCAAAAATGCAGTAGCTTTCTTTCACTGTAACTCTGTATTCTTCTACCAATTCTAGCATAAAACACAATCATAAATTCTAGCGTCTTCCAAAGTTAATTGAAAATTATAGTTATTGGAAAAATTGGTCTAAGACTTTTTTCAATGGAAACCCCAAACTGATGAGCTTAGAGATATCATCATGTGGTAGATCTCTTTAGAATACATAAGAAAACAATAGCATTCTGAAAAGAGATAGTTAGAATGACATAGTATTATTTATGAACACCTATAAAAAATAATAGCATGTTAGTAAGATTCTGAGCTTCACATTCTACAATTAAAGTAACATTTCAATAGCAAATACTAAAATTGCAGAGTTTATGTTAGATTAAATATCAACAATACATTCTCAAGATAATCCCTGAGAAGCAATGCCAATATTTTAGGAGCATATGTAATAAAATAGGACAACTGCATACATGGTACAAAGCATCTTTACAGATTAGTAAACCATTTTAGTATTCAGTATGATTTTAATAGTTTCAAATCCTGGTCCCTTCTCATGAATTTCAAAATTCTTTCCACTAGGGATTTCCATAATATATAGAAATACTTAAATAACTTTGCTAGGCGATAAACTATTCTAAAAAGTAACTTTATTCAATCATTTCCTAAAATTTATGCTATTTTGTTATTTTAGTAGTAAACGTTATTCAATACTATTCTTCACACTGATCTCTCTGGGTGTTATAATAAAACCCAATCTGATTATTTTTACTGAAATTTTCTCTCCAAAAGAACAATTTAAAAAAATAGTCTAAGGTAATTTCAGTTATCCTTCCTTATTATTCTTGAATGTCACATCTTCAAAACCTCAGTTAAGACACCCAGGTTGTTTCTTTTTAAAGGAAATTTAGGAGCTTTTAAACTCAGCAGGTTTCTTTAACTGCATCTCTATTTCCCAATGAGTAATACTTTCTGGACAGAATATTTAATTTAAATAATGTTATGAGGACTTAAACACTGAAAAAGCATTTCCACGAGAGACTACATAGTATGACTGTAATCTTCAACGGAATCATCCTTTTAGTCTACGTAGTGTTACCCCAGGACTTTTAACAATGTACATAACATGTTGCTGGACCCCTATTTCACACAGCATGGTACCATGGTGTGGACCATCAGATTAATTAACTGGCATTAGCAGAACTCAAGGCATTGAATGAATGAAACACAGACTAAGTAAGTGTTTGGGAATGGTGGGGGCAGGTGAAGCACATTTAAAAAAGTACTCTAGGCAACAAATAGTTCTAAGAGAACCTGGAGAGGCAGATTCTATAGCATAACTGGATAATGTAAGGGAGCTGAAGTACAGTATCCACCACTTATCCAAGGGAAATATGCCCCAAACCCTCAAGGGATGCCACACAGGTAGAGAGATAGAAACCCTAATACACTGTTTTGTCCTATGCAAACATGCCTATAATAAAGTTTAATTTATAAATTGGGCACAGTAAGACATTAATAATAACTAATAAAATATAACAATTATAACTATACACTATAATAAAAGTTATGTAAATGTAGTCTCTTTCTGTCAAAATAACTTGTTGCACTATACTCACCTTTTCACCTAAAGGGATCACTACACAGCTTCTCTTTGGCATGTCTGAATTGCCTGCATCATTACATTTGTTCTTTTATTCAGTAAAATAATTGTTACTTGGACACAGGTACTTCAATACTAGGATAGTTAATCTGATAACCAAGATGGTGGCTACTACATGACTGAGGGGCAGGCAGCCCACACAGCATAGATGATTCATGTCCCAGGCCGGATAGAACAAAACATTCAGGATTCCATCACACTACTCAGAAATGCATGCAATTTAAAATGTATGAACTGTTTATTTCTGGAATTTCCCATTTAATATTTTTAGACTGAGGTTGTCTGTAGGTAACTAAAACCTCGGATGGAGAGTGAAACCTCAGATAAGGGGGGACTACTGTGTAGCAAAACAAACATAGATTCAAGCAAACAAAAATGTAAGCTTCGCAGTCTAAAAGATCTGTGTTTGAATCCTGCTGCTGTCATGTACAAGCTGTGTGGCTGTGAGTGAATTATTTAACCTCATATCGTTTTTCTCATTTGCAAATGGGATAACAGCACTTACCTTGCTGTTTTATCACAGCTATATATATATATTATAATAGGTTCCCAATAAAATATAAATTCTTTTTTTTTAATTTTTTGATATGTCTTTATTGATCTTAGAGAGAGGAAGGGGGAGGGGTAGAGAGATAGAAACATCAATGAACGAGAAACATGGATCACTGCCTCCTGCACACCTCCTACCAGGGATCAAACCAGCAACCTGGGCATCCGCACAGACTGGGAATCAAACTGGTGACCTCTTGCCTCATGGGTCTACCCTCAGCTACTGAACCACACCAGCCTGGCTAAAATAGAAATTCTTACACTATGTCAGGGATTTCTTTTCTTACTTTTTTCTAATTTAAATAAGAACCACATGACATCTCAAAAGACTTAAATATTGGCATCAGTGAAATATATTATAATCAATTCCTTATCATATATAGCACATCGAACCTGCCACATGATTCCCTGGTTTCTAAGATACAGGGTGGGGCAAAAGTAGGTTTACAGTTGTTTGTATGGAAAATAATAGAGCAATTAATAAATAATAATATAAGAATAAACTCACGTACTCACAACTGTAAACCTACTCTTGCACCATCCTGTATTTAGGTCTGTCTTCAACAAGTAACACAGTCTGCCAGCACTCCCAGTTCTGATTCATCACTAAGCATAGCCTCAAACTGCTTGGCTTCTAGGTCTTGTTACAAATCCTACTAAACAGAGATATTTACAGGGGTTCAACTATACTAGTAAGCCATGCCATCCACTCACTGCTAAGCTCTTTCACCTCTATTTGCTCATTAATTTGGGACACTGGATTATACCACATCTAGGCCCATGCCTTCATAAGTGTGAACTCTGAATTACCTTTGTAGTGTGTTTATAGATTTTATCCAAGGAAGATCTGAGCATCATGACATCTAATCATGCATCTGCATTAAAATTATGGTGGAAGTCACTGTCCTATACGGCTCCTTTCTCCTCCACAAAGTGGCACACATTACACTTGTCTTTTGGCCTCAAAAGACTGATTGAAACATTGTTCTCCCTGAAACTCTTGCATGTTACACATACTTTCTGAAAATGAGGATCACTTAATTGCTCCTGCTATCCTGAGAGCTCAAAGTCAAATATGAATCTCATGTTAAAATATGTACACAGATAATAATTTAATTAAAAAATATTTTTAAAAAGTCAAATATGAATCTCAATGACAATATTCATGTTGACCATGAGGATATTAATGCATTTTTGTTTTCCCTTACCCTGATTTCCAACTTTGCTTATATTTCATTTCATTTTACTACTGTTGGTTTGTTGTTATTTTTATAAGTAGCTATGAATGCTTTGTGGAAAGAGCCGTAATATGTATATGTTTAAATACTTCATGCCTAACCAGTTTGGCTCAGTGGATAGAGCATCGGCCTGTGGATGAAGGGTCCCAGATTTGATTCCGATCAAGGGCAAGTATCTTGGTTGTGGGCACATCCCCAGTAGAGGGTGTGCAGCAGGCAGCTGATTTATATTTCTAACTCTCTATCCCTCTCCTTCCTCTCTGTAAAAATCAATAAATATATATTTTTTAAAATACTTTACATTAAGATGCAGAAATACACACATGCACCTGTATTTGTATTAGCAACCCTACCATTTACTTCTTGGTCATCTTGTGGCTCCTCCATACAGTAAACCTGGAATGAGTCGATGACATCTTCCTTGTTTATGCTCCAATAAACCGCAATTGTTGTGCTTGTGGCAGAATTTGGTTCCTGAGGTTCTAGCCTAGGAGGCTGTGGAACTGGATAGAATATAAGCAACATTTATTGTAACCAATGCTGATTTCGTTGATTGATTTTTCTTTCTTTTTTCAAATGTCACTTACAAAAATTTCTAACAATACAGAAATATATGACGTATCACTGGGAATTCTTCCTTTTTTTCCAACACACTCCTAATCCCAAACCCTAACATTCCACTGCTGTGGTTCAGTGTGTATACCTCCAAAATGTTTTCTTTGAATTTGTATATGTGTATATGTAAGACACATGGAAATAAATAAAAATAGATCCTCAAATGAATCCCTTGAGAATATTCTTCAATAGTTCTATATTTAGAGAAATTAACTTATATAAGTTAGACTCAAGGTTATAGCAAATGACTTTTTTCTTTGAAGCAAAAACTTGAATATGCTTTGCTAGATAACCTTCTACATCAATATAGAGTCTATATTCACAATAGACAAATGAAACCACATTTAACTATAGGTGCTGTAAAAGCTGAAAAAGACTTCCATGAATAAAATAACAAAATACACTTTCTGAAATTACTATCCTATTTTCTCTTTCCAGCATGACCATAGCTACATATTAAAAAGAAATTTAAATAAAATGTTAAAATCACATAGAGGGGAAAGTACCTTATTAACTGATTAAAGTATAATGTTTAACTATTTATTATTACTCTATTGTTTTGAGTTTTAAAGACAACAATATTCTCAAGTGTTTTACTAGAGATTTGAAAGTTTATAATTTTGCATATTGAACATCAACAGTATATACAACACCATAAATCAAGCTCCTATGCAATTCTCCTCCAACATTTTTGAGAAACAAAAGCACTGAACATATTTTACAAATTAAAAGAAAAGGTTATTCTTATCAATTGAGAAGATGTCATGCTTTTAAATTTATTTTTGTGGTTATTTTTTTTTCCAGGCAACAATTTCCTAAGAGATAATCTTACTAAAACAGTGTGAGTCAAATTTTATGAGGTTACTTCTTTAAGAGTAATGAAATGAAAACAAGATTAGTTCAACAAGGAGTTAAAAAATGAGGAAAAACAAATGGGTCTACAGGATGGAACAAAAAGAGACAGATTGAAAAGATTCAAGAAAGAGATAAACTGCCAAAGAAATACACAGGTATGAAAAATAAGCAGGATAAGGGAGTGGTCACGTTCATGGGCTTTGGAGGAGAGAGGCTTACCTAAGGTAAAATGACAGATCTCCATCTTATTAGCTGAGTTATTTTAGCCTCCGTCTCCCCATATTTAAGTTGGGAAACAACAACAACAATAATAATACCATTTAGTCTCAGGGTTGTTGTAAGAAGCAACATAGTATATAGTAAGTGCTTAGCAAAGTGCCTGACACATAAACAGTGCTAGCATTCAGGAGGTAAATGGCTTTGGCAGGAACACAGAAAACGGAGGGGAGAAGGCAAGAAGCCTCTTATGATGAGGGTGAAGTAGGACTCCATCCACCACCTGTGAACCGAGAGGGACTCAGAGGTCAGGCATGCTGAGCAGGCTTCATGACAGGAAGCTTGCCTGTCATGGCACCTCCCCAAGGACTGAGAGCCTTATGCTCCCTTTGACTTCACTGTTTGTCTTCCCAGCAGGAAACCAGTGTCACATTCTAAAGGAGTCCATCTGGACAAATGCAGTGCAGTAAATTTTCATGTTACCAGGTTTACTGAAGAGCCAAGCAGAATGCTTCAACTATTGTCAGTTGTCTCTGAAACAGTGTTGAACTCCTTGAGGCATGAACAATGAAAATGCTCCTGTGTTTTTATTGTTGTTGTTGTTGTTGTTGTTGTTGTTTTTTAATAAATTATACATTAAGCAATATCTGCTTTTTTAAAATGGTAACACACACACACCATCACCAAATTTTAAGGAAGAAGCAGTTGTAGGGAATTAAGCAAAACATGTAGATTAGAAATAATTTTGTACTTAATGTGCTCCTTCTCCCAAAATCATTAAAATTAGAACATTTTTTTTCAAAAATAGGAAATACTCTTTGAAATACTCTAAAATTAAAAAGGAAATAGGAATATTTCATAGATATAATTGAATAATAATTATTGGATTTAAAATTCCTGTGATAGACAAGCATCAGAGACCTGGATTTTATATGTCAGCTACTCTGTTTACACTTCCATAGCAACTGACTTGAATAGGATTTAGTGTCCTGTAGAGATCTGTCACACTAAGGGAGCTGAGCAGTAGATCAACTTGGGACTTCAGGATCTGTGCCCAGATCCAGATTCCCACTGAAACCAGGAGGCAGTATTATTCACAGAAGCCAAAAGTGTACATCCATGAGTGAATGGATAATCAAAATGTAGTATAAACCTACAATGGAATATTCTTCAGCCCTTAAAAGGGAAGGAAATTTTGACACATGCTACAATGTGGATAAACCTTGGTGGTATGCTAAGTGAGATGAGCTAGTCACACAAAAACAAGTAGTGTATGGTTCTACTTATACCTAGAGTAATTAAATTCTTAAAAACAGGAAGTAGAATGGTGGTTGCTGGGGTAGAGGTGGGGAGTTATTTAACAGGTAGAGAATGTCAGTTCTGTAAGATGAAAGAATTCTGGAGATGGAAGGTGGTGATGGTTGTACAACAATGTGAGTGCACTTGATACCATTGAATTATATACTTCGCTAAGTTTTACATCATGTGTATTTTACCACAATTAAGAAAGAAAGAAAAAAAAGGCCCCAGGAGCCAGAGTCAAGGAAGCCTTGTCACTAACCTATGGTGACCGCTCCTTTCAGAGCAATGCTCTCTGCCTCTTCAGTGTAGAGCAGTGGTTCAGGAGCAAGCTCTGAACTGAACTCCTCCACTACAAGCCCCCAAATAGCTGTGTATCTAGAGCAATATGAGAGACACTTTTCTGCTCCTTTTATGTCCTCACCTGTCAAACGGGAATAACAATAAAGCCCACCTCCTGGGGTTGTGAGATTAGTTGATCACTATGCTTAACAGCCTCCACAGCGCCAGGCATCATGTAAGCGTGGAATAAACATTAGTGAGAAATTCATATCCTTTCCTCATTAAATCTGTTTAGGGAGTGATCTGATTAACTTTGCGGGTACCAGGGGAGGACTCTAGATCCGAGGGGTGTCATTGGTCACAATATGAACAAAAACTATTTAGCGACAAGTCAACACCTTGGGCTCCGATTCTGTGAAGTACAATCCACAGCTTTTATTTCTCAGAGATCAATTTCACCAAAACAGCTTGGAATTACTGGGAATTATTACTATTTCAGAATGATAATCTAACCCTGTGGCTTCTAAAATATATAGAATGTCCTCTCATTCCCTACTGGGTATTCAAAAAGAAGGAATCCCTTAAAAGCAAAAGATCTACTCTGTAAATCAGAATTTCTTAGTTGGCAATCACTGATTTGTTTAAATGCCTCTTAAACATATTCTAAGAAAACATCCTTTTGTTTTGAGACATTTCTGCAAAAAATCCATAAATGCCTGCATTTTTTCATTTTACATAGGATGGGTAGGATTTTTGGTCTTTTTAAAGACACAGTAGCCTTTTCCCAGTTACTAAACAAACCCTCTTCCTACAGAAATGAAAGTTACTTGTCAACTGAAAAACAGCAGCTGTCTTTAAGGTGGTTTTGAAAGAGTAACACATCTCTTAAGGAGGACATCTGAGTACATTGTTCAGTAAGTGAAACTTGGTAACTTGGCTGAAACCGGCAGCTTTGAGAAATTTAAATTGTCTTGTTTGTTAAAATAGCACATTAAACAACATTTTGAAGAGCCGGCAAGATGCCTCTGACAGCTGAGTGGGAGGCTCCTGGCTACAGAGCATGATGCTGAGCTGTTAGTTCTTCTAAGATAATCTGTTTAGTTTTAAAAAAGAAAAAATAACTCAATTGAAGAGGGGAAAACCACTCATAAGGAAAAATCTGTTCAATACACATGGAATTATTTGATTTACTTTACCTTCTCTAGCTGGCTGCTGGTGCGAAGCAAATAATCTCTGGGAGAGAGGGAGAGAAATCCTACTGGACAAAGGAAAATAACAGTGGTTTCATTGCTACCTCCTCCCACCTCCTCAATATCCAGCGCAGTCATGAGGCTTCAAATGGAAATGCAGTTTATCACGGGAATGGTGTGCTGGTCTCCTGCTTTATTTCGGAATCTGGCTTTAAATGTCTACAAAGAAGATTGTCCTGTTTCCAGTTTTATTTCCTTATAGTCAAAAAAACAAACAAGGAAAAACCACCAAATCTCATCAAACTCTTTAAGATATTAAAACGCCTACCAGCCACTTGTTTTAACATCTGGTCACTTTTCGCCGAGCTGTCATCATAATGCTCAAAAAGTGAAAACGCAGCAGGCATTTTCTCTAACGAAGCAGTACTCTCCATGGCAGAAAGCAGCCTATTTGGGGGAAATAAAAGTCCAAAAATCATTAGCATACAGAACGAAAGTAAAGCAATGGTTCAGAGTGAACTTGGGTGGTCGCAGTGGTAGTTTTTGTGAGGCACTGTATCCAAAGAGGATTTAAACTGTTTCAAACTCTAGAAATATATTTATTCTTAAGATTTTTGGTGTAACTGCTAATATTAGACATTCCATTCCTATATCCTCAAATCTAAGTAGATTCCATTAAATTATACTTTTTTTTTTTACTTTGCATCTATAAAATAACTTCTAAAAATCACTATATTTTAATGGTCACTTTTATTTATTTCCTAATAATATAAAGATTCAGACCATCTGGAAATTCACACACTGTATATGATGTCTTTGCTGTTCTCAACCATCATTATCATTTAGTCTTTCAAAAAATATGTTCACCCACTAGGTTCCTGGCAATGTCCTGGGTAGTGGGGATTCAGCACTGAAGGAGGATAAAGTCTATTCATTCTTAAAAGGCTGAACATAGCACAGTATATAAATGAAAAGCTTTTATAAATTCAAGACCTGTAAGGAGAGATGCCAACAAATAACTTTTAGCATTTGTATCTAGGTGAAATCTAGGCTTTAAAAAAATTTTTTGATTCTGCAGAGGGGAAAAGAGGTCGCAAACATTTATCTTTAGCTTGAGGAGCCTCAACTTTGGTTAGAAGCTCTCCTCTGGGCACCCCCCTGAGAGGACTAGCATTATCTTCCAGCAATTAAGCAGCTTTGAGGAACTCCACTGGCTTCTGCATCGTGGACTTTTTGATTTGGGTAGTACAGACCCTCAGACCTTGAACTTGCTGTGGGAACTTTCTTCTCTCACCTGCTTGTATGGTTCCTTTCTCACTTCATTTAGATCTCTATTCCAATGTTCGCTCCTCCGAGAGGCTAGCCCTGGGTCCACTAAACACCGTGGTGCCTATGCCGCCGACCCCTTATCTGCTGGGTTTTACTTCCTCAAACTTGTCATGACCTATTGGTTTGTGTCTGTCTACTTCACCAGAATGTAACCTACAGGCACAAAAGAACTCTGTCTTGTTCCCTACTACAGTGTAATGGGTAACCTGGCATACAGTAGGCATTTAATAAATATGCTTTGTATATATAAGAGGGTAAAGTTTTCTTTGGGTGAGACTATCAGGATCTCAATTCTGACAAATTTTTTTAACCAATGTGAGGGGGAAAGATTATAATTAAATATAACTGAAATATTTAAAGATGACTTCTGTGTTTACTAATGTTAGGAATAATAAAATTCACTATCATTTGATTTAGGGGAGATGGTTTCCATAAGGGCTTCAAAGAGGAGGTGATTTTTGGACCAAGAGTAAGGAGGTTGCGGACAGAATAGCTTGGATCATAAAGGCATGGAGTTGGGAGAATTTGGCTCATTCAAGAGCCAGAGGTGGTCCTGGCCTATGCTGGGAATTAGAAAATGTTTACAGAGTTGAAACAGAGAGGGAATTTGTGGTTTAACTGTGAAGAGCCTTTCGGATCCACCAAGAGATTCCATTGTCTCTTTGAAGGCAGGGAGAGCCGCAGAAGTGTTCACAAAGGGGAAGATTAGAAGCATGGCCTGGCAGAGACTGAGGCAAAACAAGAGCAAATAGACTAGGGAGGTAGTGAGGCCGGTTGAGAGGACCCCATAGTGCTCCAGGCCAGGGAAACATCACAAGCTTAAATTAAGGTCTTGGGGATACAAAGGGAGAAATGATTGGATTAACAGACAATGGTGACTAGTACATATACTAAGGCCACTCAACACGTACGACTGACTAAATGGAGGGCTTTTTGTAGCACATAAACTCTGGTTGTAGACACCTGTCCAATTTTAACATCTCTATGTGGAAGGACAAGTGAACATCTTTTCATGAGCAGTGACTCTCCTTCTCATTATTATAACACAAAAGAGCAGAACAGAGAAAATGAATGCATCCTCTCAATAGGACCGCATTTTCTAAGCAAATGTGTTTTTCATAATATGCAAATTTTGAATCTAATTATGCTTGACAGCATTCCTTAATTTAAGCACTTTCAGTGTTGAGAAAAGTTGTTTCATCTATGAGCACTGCCTTTAGAGATATAACACGAAGAGAGAAAAGGATGTAAGGTAAAAAACACCAACTAGGTAATTAGTACCTCTCATGGAGAGCAATATTGGTAACCCTGAGACCTTGAAATAGATGTTGTCTTGAGGACATAAAAGGCTTCTTAGTGACACAATCAGTCTTATCACATGTGCCCACACACACATGCATGTTTAACAGGGTCTTCTTTGCTTATATTCTTTACCAAATCCCAATTTTTGCTTTTACCTTTACAGAAAAATAATGATTATCCCAAGTGGACTTCCTTTAGGTGACATGCAGCTTTTGTAAAGGTTAATGCACTACCCACTGGACAATGAAATCAAGATTAATTAAAATACACACAGATGAGCAAGCTCAAGCACAAGACCAAAGAAATGGAATTAAATGCATGTTAATTCATATTATCAAATTAATATTCTAATGTTTATAAAATTAAAAATGTACAATAGTATTTTTTAAAGTATTATAAAAGCATTTGTAAATTTTCATTCACCGATCTTTCCTTCCAATCAATGCCTGACATGAGTGGATGAAATATAAATAAACAAATATGTATCGACATTGTCCAGTGTACAAGGAATGGCACTGTAAACCCATATACTTTTTGGATAAAAATAAATATCAATAGTATGCAGGAGAAATGTGTACATTTTTTAAAACAAAGGAAACTGGGAACAAAGCCTGGGTATCATTTCCTAGACCTGCCTGGGGGAAATGGTAATCTGGCAGACACCAGGACCTATCCTGGACTCGCATGCAGGGGCTCTGGGGAAGGGTTCTGGAGCGCTGGTTTAACAAACTGCCAGTTGGAGAAAAATCACGGAGCTAGAGGACAGACTATTATAACCCAGAGGTTCTCAGCCCCAGCTGAGCATTAACATCACTCAGGAAGCTTTAAAAATGCCCAGGCTAGACAAAACTGATTTGGTTCAGTGGATAGAGCGCCGGCCTGTGAACTGAAAGGTCCCAGGTTTGATTCTGGTCAAGGGCATGTACCTGGTTGTGGGCACATCTCCAGTAGGGGGTGTGCAAGAGGCAGCTCATTAATGATTCTCTCTCATCGATGTTTCTAACTCTCTGTCCCTCTCTCTTCCACTCTGAAAAAAAAATCAATGAAATACATATTTTTAAAAAATAATAAATAAAATAAAAATGCCCAGGCTATAGCTCAGACCAATTAAACCAGAACCTCAGGAGCTAAGATTCAGGCATCAGCATTTTTATTTTTAATATATTTTTATTTGTTTTCAGAAAGGAAGGGAGAGGGAGAGAGAGAGTTAGAAACATCAATGATGAAGAGAATCATTGATTGTCTGCCTCCTGTATGCCCTCCTATTGGGAATTGAGTCCCTGAGCATGTGCCCTTGACTGGAATCAAACCCAGGCCTTCAGGCTGATGCTCTATCTACTGAGCCAAACAGGACAGGGCCAGGCATCAGCATTTTTAAAGCTCCCTGGGTTATTCTACAGAGCCATTGAAATAAAACCCTCACTGATTAATGCTAATGTTATTATACAAATTATTTTCTTAAAATGTATTGACAATATTCTGTTCAAAAGTAAACAAGTTCACCTGTACTATTTTTATTATCTTAAAAAAAATCAAGTTTCTATCCCATTTTTTAATATATCACAAATATAAATTTCTGATTTTACTTTATGATAGATCACAATCTGGTATTGAAGTAAACTGAAGATAATATTTACAAGATTAGAAATTTACATGAAAGGTGTAAAAAAGATAAAAGCATTCAGCTCAACCAGGAGAGACCTCAGGTCTTGCTGTGGAACAAAGCGAAAATGTGTCAGATCAGTATCGGCACATCACTATCAGAGGCTCCAGAAGATAAACACAGATCTGATGTTTTTAGAGACAACATTTCCTAATTTCATGTTAATGCTTTGACTTTTAAAAGAATAAAGAATTTCCCTTAGACTGAGTGCTAAAAACAAAAATCAGAAGAGGAGTATTCATTTAGGTTGGCTGAGCATGAAGAGAAGATAAATGCATGCCTATCTTTTGAAGACAACATGAAAGAAGTCCCATTAAAATTACATTAAATCGTAAAATTATTCAAGGCAGATATGAGTGATTCTTTCAAGCACTCATATTTAACTAATAAGTCTAAGGATCTACAAAATGTTCTGTGTGCAGTGACAGGAAAGATGGTCGAGATTAGGTTGAAAAGACAAACTACATCTCAAGTTAAAAACCTATCCTATGATAATTGTTATTTAACTAAAGCACATGCAATTTTCTTTCAACTTGGTCATTTAGCTTTTAAAAGCACAGCATCTAAAAGTGAAAATGCAATAGCTTACTAAAAGTATGTATTTTTTAATTGGCAGCTCATTTTCTATAAAGCATCAAAACATTAAAAATAAAGCATAGTCATGCTATTCTCGGATGCCACTACATTGTGCCATGTTTTATATACCTTTCATTGATTTCCTCAAATGACTTGGGAAGGAATGAGAAGAAGTGTGGAAGGGAGAGGGAGAGGGAGAGGGAGAGGGAGAGGGAGAGGGAGAGGGAGAGGGAGAGGGAGAGGGAGAGGGAGAGGGAGAGGGAGAGGGAGAGGGAGAGGGAGAGGGAGAGGGAGAGGGAGAGGGAGAGGGAGAAGAGGGAGAGAGAGAGAGAGAGAGAGGGAGAAGAGGGAGAGAGAGAGAGAGAGAGAGAGAGAGAGAGAGAGAGAGAGAGAGAGAGAGAGAGATTAATAACGAAAACCTAGAGAATAAAGGTTATGCATATTCTAAAATCATCACTTCTCACCCTCCCATTGGGTGGCTTCAGTGGGGGCAGCAGGAAATTAGTGCTCAGAAGAGATGAGGAGGGTGGAGGGCAGGTCAGGGGTGGAGGGGCTTCAGTTCTCAGTCCTGCTCCAACTCTCCACTATCAGCAGCAAGGCCAGCAATGAGTTGCTTAGGCTTTGCATCTCTCTTCATTAACAAATGGCTTCCAAAAAAGAATTCTCTGAGGTGAAAAAATAACTTAAATTTCTTCAGTGTGGCATATATACAAAAAATGTAATCAGTAGTTATCCCTAGGTGTTATCTTCTCTGTGTTTTTCTGTCTTTTCCAAATTTCCTAAAATAGATATATGTTGCTTTTATAAGCAGGAAAAAAAAAACACAAAAACCAATGCTTTCTTATTTATAACTTGTTCTTCTAGACAGAAAAGAAAATATTCTTATCAAACAAAACTAAGGTTCTTAGGGAACACAAAACACTTAATATTGTACTTTGCAAGAGGTGCCTAATTTTATTATTGCCTTAATTAAAGAGGAAGCACCTGAATGGTTTTCGTTGTGTTTGAGGATGTCATGTCCACCTCAGCGAAAGTGCCCTGGCTGGAGGTATCCCCAGAGGCAAATGAGAAGCCTAACATTGACCCATTTTGCCTTGCTCTATCTCCAAACCTTATGAGAGGGCCCAGCAGACCAGAGCGCTTTGAAAGGGAGGCTTTCCACTCACCATCAGATGCTGCTTTCTTTTGGTTTGATAATTAGGTTGGGGACTTCTTCCCTCAAGGAAAATGTCTCCATTACTCCTGGTTAATTCTGGCTCCATGGAGAGCCAGTATCCTACTGGATGTTCTAGGGCATTAGGAGAGCAAAGAGCTGCCTCGGTGGTGCCATTTGGGAATTTTGGTCCACAAGGTACTGAAGTTAAGGAATCAGGTCCACAGGAATACCCTTATAAAAGCATCCCTGTGTTACCTGAGAGAGGTATCACATGATATCATCCCTTTGCATTCTGAGAGTGAACCAAATGTTACTCTCAGCCACTTGGTGAGGCTCAGAGGGAATGGTCCCTGTGAGAGGTCACTTCAGAGGAGGGAGTGGGAGAGGAGAGGATGCCAGGCCTCCAAAGGGAGCATGGCATGAATAAGATTCGCAGGCTGCTTTTCTTCCTCCCTCTTAGAAGTTACGACAGAACAGATGAGGCCTCACTTCCATGTATCCTGCAGCTGGACCTGGGTGCTAAGGATTTGCTGGGCCTTTTCCGTAGGCATCAGGCATGCCCCAATAGTTTTTATAATTGTCACAACTATATAAAAAAGAAAACCCCCACACAGTATATAAATGATCTGAGGGAATACTGGAAATTACAATTTTGAAAGTAGGAGACTTGGGGGCAGAGTGGGTGTAAGGTGTTTGGGCCTGTTTGGACCGGTGCTTACAGTCAGGAAAACGGTCTCGTCAAGCTCCTCTGCTTCCCTCACAATGGTCTCCAGGGTGTCCTTGGCAGCATCCATGCTCTGCAGAAAGTGGACCATCTGGTCATGCAGGAACTCCATCTTCTTTTTCTTCACTTCCTCAAAGCTCTGGGCCTTCTCATCATACTGTGCTAAAACCTTCTTCATCATCTCCTCATTCTGTTCTTCTAGCTTTTTCTCATTTTTACTACAATTTTCCTAAAACAAAACAAAATTCTGAATGAAATGAGAAGTGTATGTCTTTTTTTTTTTTTTTTTTTTTTTTTTTTTTTAAAGAAACACAGCCTTTTAAAGAACTGACCTCAGGCATTCTGACCAGAGAATCACAGATTATATGCACAGTCTAAATTTCCAACCTACCAACACCCCCCCTCCCCCTTTGACATAGTCATCTCTGCAATAGAATTCACTGTAAGAGCATCCTCAAGAAGGATTTAGTTCCTGAAAACACTCAGAAAGATATGTGCATGGAAGTCTTTCCCATCAGCATTCCCACATGGTAAAACGACAACGGCACCACAATGAATGAAGATTCATGGCCTTCAGGGAATGGAGAGGGTTTTGTGCCATTTTCACCACTCCACTAAGATCAGTGTGACGAAGGGGCAGCCAGCAGACTGGATACGATGCTGCCCTCATTTACGCTCTCCAGGAAGGGGGAAGCTTCCTCCACAGTAAGAGAAATGTGATTGCCTTCCTGAACAAACCCAGATGCCGGGCTGTCCTCATGAGATGGCTAGTGATAAGGGGATCATTTCATTGACTGTTTAAACGGGACACTTTTGGGGAGGGGGACAAAACATAATTAGCCATTATTAATTGAGCTATCACTGGAGTTAAACAGACTTTTCACAAGCAAACTAGGACGCAGAGTTGCTCTAGTGATAGGAAAACTATGCACCAGCCTTCTGCAGGGGCCCCTTGCCACTCCTGATTGACCAGTATGCTTAAGCCACTAAGCATACTTAGTATATGGATGGAGCAATACTACACCTGCCCTTCACTTCAGAGGGACCAGGGGCCAGCAGCTGGGAGGGCATGAACTCATCAAAGACAATGGTACCATGAGAAACACTCATTTATGAGGGCATGGGACATTGGGCAATGACTTAGTGCATTTCTGCAGAGCTAACCTAAGGAAAGGCAGGATGATGGAGCAAATAAGAACTCAGACCTGAATTGAAACCTTGTCTCTCAACATATGACCTTGGGTAATACTCTTAACTCTAAGGTTTTTTTTTTAATCCATAATAGGGGAACAATAACAACACCTATTTCACATGGTTATTATGAAGATTAAATTGGATAAGCACGTAAGCATTTGCCTTATTGCAGTAAGTGCCCAATAAATGTGTATGGGTTTTTAAGGGCTAATCATTTACCTTTAGACAGAAAGTAGTAGTCTCACTGATTACACACAGATGGAAGACTTAATGGGAAAAAAAATCAACAATGGCAAACAATACATGCACACATATACCCAACTCAGATTCTTTTAAAACAGTTATGTACTGTGATGCCATGAACAAACCAGATAAAGTGAAAGGGATATAGGAACTTACCTCAATGGTGTTGAAAAAAGTTTCTATCTCACTAACAAAGGCTTCAATCCTTAAGGACTTTTCTTGTAAATTTTCTAGAAATTCTGCTAATTGAACCTGAAGAAAAGAATTCAGATATCCTTAGTATATGACATTTGACTTAATTTTGTTTGTTTTGTTTTTTTTCTTTTTTGACTCTTTTAATTTTTGTTTGTTTGTTTTGAGTGTGTGTGGTATTTGTTTTTTGTTTCTTAGAACATGACATTTGAGAAAAGAACTTTAAGTGGTGAGTTCAATTTCCTTACAAATTTAGTGTGTAGAGGTAGAGGTTTACTATAACATTTTCACTAACAAATCGGTTTTTTAAATTTTTGTGCTGCTTCATCATTGACTATAGATAATTCTATACAATAAACAAGTAGGAGGTTTATGAGTGAAAGCAACACAAAGACAATGTATTTTCTCATAAAAGAGAAAAGACTTCTTAGTAAGTTGGAGTTCAAAGAATACTTGTTTTAGTGGGCTTTATATTTTCATTATTCCTCTGTAACAAGGCCTCAATTCTCACATATTGCCTTTCTTCTAATACCACTATTCAGCTTTGTGCTGAATTGATCTAACTTATGTGAGTAGTCTTATCCCATTTGTCCCAATGACCTCAGGTGAGCCTGGAGCACCTGAGCCTGAGAGGTGACAAGAGTGTCACCAGGCCAGAAGGCTATACATATCTAATGAAAGAAACTATCTACTAAAAAGACCTAACGGTTCTAATGATCCCCAAAGGGTTAAAATACTCAAGGGGTGACTGCCAATTAGAAAATGCATGGGTGATGGGGGAAGATGGTACCTACTTTAGCTGTAGTTATAACCTTAGCTGTAATCTATCCTGCTAAACTTAACAAGTAGCACAGAAACTCAGAGCTTCAGCTGCCTGATTCATTATCCGCAGAATAAATAGAGAAATGATACTGATGGAAGCCCCTTCAAGATCTGGTTTCTGCTTCCCTCTCCAGCCCTTGCCTCTTCCCCATAAGCCCCCAGGCTCCGATTACACAAGCCCTATCTTTCCTTAAACGCTTTCTCAACTATGTGCCTTTTCATATGTTCTTCCCTATCTCTAAAATGACTTTGTTATCCTTGTTTGCTGGCAATTATTTATCAGTGACCTAACTGAATAGTCATTTTGAAAATTGCTACTATAGGAAGTTACTGAGCCCCGCAACATGGATATGCAGCCAAGAACATGAACTCTAATGCCAGACGGACATGGGTACCAATTCTAGTTTTGTCTTCCATGACCTTGGGCAGATCACTTAAACTATCTGAGCCTGTTTCATGATCTGCAGATTGAATTTATCTTGTATATAAAGAACACAGTGCCTGGCACAGAATAAGTGCTCAATTCTTCTTCTTATTTGCATTTTTAGATCATTCTGGCCACTGTATGGAAGATAGGTCAAAGAGACAAGAGTCGGGATTCCACTTAGAAGGCTATTCAAAGATAGACGGAATCTCAAAGATTAAACAGCTTATTTCCAGTAGTATCTCCGAGGAAGTAGGATATTATAGTCACATTCATAACAATATGTATTGTGACTAACTTTTTAACATCATAAGGATATGTGTTGTGACTAACTTTTTAACATCAGAATTCTACAGACATAGCTAGGTTTTCCATTTCTAGCATAAATTTGATAAAAAGGAAATATGGAGAAAACTAATTTAAAATGTGTTATTCTCTATTTTATAAAACTTGCAACAAGATTGCTCAATGTAATGTAAATGTATATTTTAAAGGATGATATTGTAGGTAACAGAAAATAAGCTGTTTTATGCACAAATAAAATTTTAATTTAAAGTCATCTGGCTTTTTTGGATAATGTTAAGACCCTTCCAAGGCAGTGACCCTGTGTTATTTATTCCAATATTCCCAGAATCTAGAAAAATTCTTGGCACATAGTGTATACATTATAAATGTTTGTCAACTGATCTTAACTAAATGCCTGGGGAAATGTTCTTAAGTTTTCTTTCAGACTGTTATGCCTAAAGATGAATGTGTCAAATACTGATCATTTTTTTAAATTGAGAAAATATGAAAACAAATTACATTTATACAGGGGTGGGCAAAAGTAAGTTTACAGTTGTAATACAGATACATAATACTATAATCCTATGTAATAAAATTCTCGTGACCGAATGGCAGAACCACAGAATGATTGGAACAACTGCAGCTCTTCCCCCTGGCCGGCCATGCCCCTGATCATCAGGGCAGACCGTCTGTACCCCACCAGTGCATAAATACGTGCCACCAGGCCTCTAGTTAATAAATAATAACACAAAAATAAACTTTCACATACAACTGTAAAACTGCTTTCCCCAACCCCTGTATGTATTATTATGTACTTAATGCTTTAAAATCTATTTACCTTTACAGCACTTATAGCTGTATCAAGCGTTGATACCTCATGGTCCTTGTGGGTGCCAAATATCTTGTCAACAGCAGAAATTGGACTTTTGCAAGTACAGCAATACATGTCAACCTGGGACTTTTTCGGTTCTTTTTGCTCCTTCTCAGTTACTAACTCTGATGATAATTGGTCTTCTATCCTCTCTCTGCCCAACTCGTTCTGTTCAGAAGACATACTTTGTTCCACCTCACTCACAAATTCATTTCCACTGATGTGTTCGAAGGATTCCTTTCCCTGAGATAACACATCTTCAGGCGTGGATTCTTCTGATAAAGTGTCCTGAGTAACTACCTCATAATTCAGAGATTCAGCAAACTCATATTCATCCTGGACAGGGCTTCTGCGGAGCCTATCTTCACTTGGCTCAGGTAGGACCGTTGTTGGAGGTTCTACGTGCAGTGTTTCTTGAACACAAGTTGCACCAGACGCAAATTCTTCCTCTGGGAAGGACACTTGTACTGGGACATTCAGATTGACCTCTGGATTTGCATTTGCTGCTTCGTTACCCTGAGTGCTTGTTCCATCTATGCTTTCCAGAACATAAGGAGTATCTTCAAATGGAACTGCATAGCTCACCTTCTGGGTAACCACTTTGACTTCCTCAGCAATGGGAGCCTTCCTCTGTGGATCTACATAGTCAAGGGTCTCCACATGGCTTTCTAATTCTCCCTCCCTGTAAGAAGCTTTCTGTTCCTCTTCCAGACCCCTTTCCCCCCAAATAGTTCTAAACCTCGCCCCAATTTCCCTTTCTGCTGCTATTAGTTGGTATGAATCATCCTTACCAACTGGTTTTCCTTCCAGACCTTGGTCTTGGTCCTTTTCTATTACAGATGTGTCATGAAGAATGTCATCTTTGAGTGTATACTTCTCAAAATATATTCCTGTTCCATCATCAGTGTCAGAAGTTTTGTTTGGAAATGATGCCTCAGAATTCACACTGTCACCTTCAGAAACGGTCTCCCCTTCCTTCTTTTTCTCTCCAACTGCTTCTTCATACAGATCCTTATATAAAAATGCAAGTGCAGGTGGTTCCTCCAGAAGTTCGGGATTAATGGCTTTAGCAGTGGTAGGAAATATCTGGGCTCTTGACAAAACTCCTTTGTCTGTATCAAATAAGGGCATCCCAGGTGACTTGGAGTCCACATCTCTATTTGTGCTCTTTGAAGCATCTTTGTCAGCTGATTTTTGGATAATCACAGACTTTTGGGTCTCTGAGTAAGATAATTTGCTGTAGTCCTTTTCTAGTCCATAAAAACTTTCATCTAACTTCACCAAGTCATATTCATGTTCAAGAGCACTTTCCTCTGAACTTTCTGGGAAAGAGAAAGCTTCTTCTATAACTTCCTTTGAGAGTTTCACCTCAACATTTAATTTCCCTGAAGCTTTCTGTATTTCTGTGTCGGGGGAGATGTTATAATCAATCAATGTATATTTTTCAAAATAATCCTCTTCACCGGGAATTGTGGGCTGATTAAAGACTAAATCACCAGTTTCTGAATCTGTGGATATTTCTTCTTTTGTTTCATAAGTTTCCTTTTGTTTATTTTCTTTCAAAGATGTAACTTTTTTCTCAGAATCTAACTTACTCTTTAATGTTTTATGGCGAGCAACTGCCTCACTATCACCAGGGAAGGGTAGAGTTTTAAGTGAGGCCTTCTCTTCCAAATATTCTAACTTCTCTTGCATTTGTTCACTTTCTTCCTGATCAACTGAAGATATAAATGCAGGAGCATGGACATTTAATATCTCACAGCCTTCAGAAATGATACTGAAGGCACTCTTTTGATCTTCTGAAAGTCCAGCTGGCTTACTAGTTGTTGTAAGTTCTTCTTCAGGTTCCTTGGATATTTTATTGACATTGGTTGTTGATGCATTTCTTATAAATTCAGCATAGTTGCTGCTTGCTGGAGAGTGTGGTTCATTTACATGGGCAGCTCCTCCACCCCCCAAGTGGTGCTTTGAAACAAGTACAGATTGTTCAGACATTTCAGATGTTTGCACTTTAGATGTTTGAATATTATAGACTATATGCCTATCTGGAGACAATTCTTGTCTCTTCTCTGTACTAATTTCTGGAGAAGCCTCTGAAACAAGTGCTTGTGGTTTCACAGATGGCAACAAATACGGTGGTGTTTCTAAGCTCTTTGATTCTTTAGATGGAGATCCTTGTTTTATATTGTCTTTTGTGATATCCACTGAACCACCTTTTGACAGCTCTGACACTGTGACCTGTCCCTTTTTTTCACTGTGACTTGCCACATCCCTGCTTGATTTCTCCAATACCAGATTTCCTTCCTTAGGAAAGGAGTGGCCATCTAGTTCATCACGATAAGGACGATCCACTGGAAGGAACGTCTTGGTTTTCTCCACCAACACTTTACTTTCTTCTAATAGCTGAGTTCCTACCACCTTTGTTTCCCTGATTTCTGGGTGAGTCTCGGAGATCATGGTTTCTAATTTTTCAGTTAATGTAGTTTTAACTAATGAAAATGGTTGAGTTTTACCCAAAGAACGACTTAAAGAATCATCTGATTTTTCAGGCATAGTCTTGGCTATATTCACAGAATATGGTTGAATCTCCTGCTGCTTCTTTCCTTCTGAAAATGCTTGTGGCTGCTTTTCCTTTTCTTTTCCTTCCTCCTCCTCAACAATTTTGTGTCTTTCTTTGGAGTCTTCATTTTGACAGACTTGCTGCAGCACAGCAGCAGCTTTTGATTCCTCCAATTTAATATAGCGAGAGCCATGTGTAATTGATGTCTCTTCTATTTCATTATTATATCTTAACTCTAATGGGGTCACAGTTTCTTGTTTCTCTGCCAGCACCTTCTTTTCTGCCAAGGAATATGATCTGATTTCCAAATTATCTTTCTCCCCAGTTGGGCTAACAGACCTGAGTTTTACTTCCTCTTCAGAAATTTTCAGGGAAGTAGGTTTTGGCACCTCTTTCGTTAGTCTGTCCTCACCAAGATTAATTAAACTGCCTTTAGAGTTCTCTGGCAAAATTATTAACTCTGGCTTCTCTGATTCCCTCATGACATTTTCACTTGTGAAGCTAGATGAAACTGATTTTGGCAGTTGATCAGCTGGTTTCTCAGCTGCATTCAAGTCAGCGGGAGCTGTACCTTTAGGCTCTATCACAGTCGCTGCTTTTTCTATAGATGGACTTGGTTGAGTTTCTAAATATTCTTTTTCAGCAACTTTATTATCTGGAGTGCTTGATCTAGAAAACAAATTGGACATCCATGACGTGAAAGATGAAATTCCTTTCTTTTTCTTTTCTTCCGAATGGCCTGGTTTAACTGCCTTTGGCTGCTCGGGCAGCTTTTGTGTCACCTCAGGTGATTCTGGGGGTTGAGGTTCTTTATTTTCTAGGATTGAGGTTTTTATTTGTGTGGATATTTTCATTCCAGATGTTGGTTTCCCTCTCTCATTAGCATCATCTACAACTTTTGGCTGATCCATTTTTGATTCTTCTATTTGCTTCTCTTCAAGTAAAGGAGATACACTCCTGAGTGCTTTTTTATTGCCCACCACAGGTTCTGCATCTTCTGCCAGGAAAGGAGCTGCTTTGGCACGTGAGGGAATAGTTTCTGACTTGACCTGTTCCATGGATGGACCAGACACTGGTTTCTGGAGGATTCTTTCAGAAGGCAGTTTGACTTCTTCGTGGCTGTCTTTGCAAGGTCTGGAAAACTCTGCCTCTGCTTTTTCCAACACTGCTTTGTTTCTCTCCACATTTTCAGCTGGAAAGAAAGATTTTGTTTGGGGGACCAGATTTATTTCTTCAGAAGAAGATGTTTTAGTTGATAAGATCTCTACATTACCACTGGGGATAACATGAGTAGTTAATGGTTCTTGTAATGATAAGTGAGACTCTTCAGCAGAATGTGGCAGAATCGGCTTTCTGGTTTCATTCGCACGGTCTTTATTCGACAAAGTAGCCTTGGGCTGCCCTGTCTCCAGACCAGTGCTGCCAGAGGAACCCAGCTGCACAGGTCCCAGTATTTTTTCTTCACGATGACTTGCCAGATCTCTTTCTGGCTTCTCCAGCATCCAGTTTTTGTCCTCTGGAGAAATAAGGGCCTCTCTCATTTGTGTTTCTTTGACATCTGCACCCTTGGTTGTCAAAAATGATTTTGATTCTTCCAAAGGCAAATTCTCTTTCCTAACAGCAAGCTGTTTAATACCCAGATCTTGTTTAGCCACAAAAGATGTGCTTACATCAGGTAATTTAACAGCCTGGTCTGACAGAAGTGTGTTTTCAGGCTTCTTTTGTTCCATAAGGTGCTCAGAAGAAGCCATCTTTGATGGTTTTGTTATACTCTGAGGTACAGGGAATGAATTTGTTTGGTCTGTTTCTTCTTTTAGTGTAGTTACAGTATCTCCTGTCACTTGTGCCTCCAAATTTCCTGTTGGCAGTAATGAGCTTATTTCTTGTTTCTCCCTCTTATTGAAGTCAGCTGAATGGCTCAATTCTTTTGATAATCCTTCTAAAGTAAAAGTGTATGGCTGAAGTTCTTCAGGGTTGTCTCCTTCAACCAAAGAGGTAAACACTTCTTTTGACCCTAAGCTGGCTACCTCAGGAGAGACAGACTTAATTTCTTGATTCTGAGGTTCCTCCTTAAGGTATGATGAAACCTCTGAAATTTCAGGCGCTGTGATTGACACATGAAGTTTCCTGTCTTCTTCTTCTCCTCTGCTCCTAAGCTCAGCAAGGCCCTTTCCTAAGACCGAACACCCTGTTTCAGTTGTGGGAGATTTTATTTGTTTTGAGTTTATAGATCCACTTTGCCTACCTAAACCAGCAGCATTTGGTAATTCTGATATTTGTTTCTCCACAGGTTCCAAAGAGAGCTCTGCCAGAGTGAGACCCTGTTTTTCTGACAGGACATCTCCCTGAGCTATAAAAGATGTCTCCATTGCCTGTTTGCTCTTATCACTGACGGTTGGCAATGTTGGAGCTAAATCTTCTGACACTAAAGTTTCCAACTCAGGAGAAGAACTTGCCATTTTCTCAGTTTTGCCTTTTGGAACTTCGTGTTTGGGTGCAGGTGACACATTTTGTGAGAAAGGAAGTTCAGCTTCTCCTTTCTTTATCTCACCACCTAGGTTGATTGAAAGCCTTGACACCTCTGAGGCAGACACAGAATTCTTTTTCTGTGGTAAAGCCAAATGTTCCGAGTCAAGGACTGTAGGAAGTGGAAGGCCTTGTTTGCTTTCCACTCTTGCATCCTTAGATACATCTACTTGCTGAGAAGACAGTGCTTTGGTTATTGGCAACCCAGGTTTAACTTCTTCAGTTTCTACCTTTGGCAAAATAGAATGCTCTGTTATAGAGGATATGCTTGGAGGTGAATCCAGTTTAATTTCCTTCTCTGCTTCTGACCAAGTTGGATGTTTGGATGCAGCAGTTTCAATAGAAGAGCTAGCTTTAACTGCTCTCTTTCCTTTATCTTCAAGGAGTAATTGCTCATCCACAGATGATACCAATGGTGGTAAACCACTTTCTAATTCACTCTTTCCTACAGTTAAGACTGGATGTTCTATAGGGGTAGTACGAGATAACTCTGTTGGAATTTCTTCTTTTGCTAATTTGGTTAAGTTTGAATCATGCTTAGCTAGAGAGGCTGTGGTTACTAAAGAACTGGGTTCAATTTCTTTCTTTATTTCTTCTGAAAATTCTGGTGCAGATGATCCATGTTCAACTTCCTTTTCCACTCCTGGTGAAGCTGAACGCAGCTCTCTAGGTACATCAATTATTTTGGAATCGCGTTTCACTTCCATTTTCATTGCTGATAACCTCTCAGGCCCAGATAAAGGTGGTTCCTTTAGAGGTGAGTATGGTTTTATTACTTCAGGCTCATTCTCTGGAAATATTTTCTGTTCTAGTTCAGATGTCACAGTTGGAGCTAAATTGAATTTGACATCCTTCTTTGGCTCATCTACCAAATCAGACAGAATGGAAAATTTCATTCCAGACCCTGGAACATTTGGAGGCTGAGGTTCCATTTCTTGATCCTGTGATGCATGTGCTGCAGTTTCTTGAAAATCAGGCAAAATTTCTTCCTTACTTTTAACTTTAAACAAAGCCATCTGTTCATTTGCAGCTTTTGGAGTGAGCAATGCTTTGGGTTCTTGTTCTTTCTTAAGTGCATGGACTGAATCAGGTGAAACTGGATACTGAGATGAAGGTGAAATAGGTTTGGTTTCTTCCTTTACTATGGGTGATTCTGCAGGTTCAGAAACAGGTGTTGCAGCTACTGATGAACTAATCTTAATTTCTCCCTTCTCTGATTCACTGGTTAAATGTGGTGGAATCGAATCTTCAGACTCAGGTTTTAAAAATGGTTGAGTTACCTGTTTCCATGCTGAAGTAAGAAATTCAGATACAGATGTTGAAAATGTTTGAGCAGCTGCTTTTTCTGCTTTATTTGGCAGACTCAGCTCTCCAGATGCAGACATCGGAGGGGAAGGTTCAGCCTGTTGCTTCCGTGATGAACTGAGATCCTCAGGTACTGGTGTAGCAGCTGTTGATTCAATTTCTTCCTCATCTGCTTCTGTAAAGCTGGAATATCCTGAAGCAGATACTGTAGTTAACTGTGAATCAGGCTCCATTTCATTTTTCTTTGTCTCTGTGATTCTATATGGTGGGACTGAAACTTGAGATGCTGAGTCTGGAGAAAAAAGGTCAACTTCTTCAGTGTCTTCATCTGACAAAATAGTGTGTTCTGATGGTGATGTTAAACATATTGGAGATTCACACTCCAATTCTCTTCTTTCTGTTTCCTGAGTTGCATAGGGTGGGAATGAGAACTCTGACACAAATGCAGAGTCTGGAGAGAAAGGTTCAACATCTTCCTGCTCTTCTTCTGAATAATTGGTGGGTGAAGAGACACCTTTTAGATTTAAAGGGGATCTGTGGACAATATCTTCCTCCTGTGATTCAGGTGTTGCATGTGGTGGTACTGAAAACTCAGAAGCAGCTGTGGAAGAGGGTGTATATCGCTCCATTTCTACTGTCTCCTCTTCTGATGGAATCATGTGTTCAAATGGGGTGGCTGAAAGTGGTGGGGCTTGGTATTCAGAAGTCTTCTCAGCTGTGCTTGGGGGGAGAGAGTGTTCAGCCACGGAGGCCACATCTGGGGAATACAGCCCAGTGTCTTCCTTCTCTTCTTCTGACACAATCATGTGCTCAGAAACATCTTTTGATATTAAGAGCGATGCATCATCAGTTATTTTCTTTGGAATTTCCTGAGTGACATTTGGTGGAACTATATATTGGGAATTCAATGTTGAATCTGGTGTGAAACGCTCACTTCCTAGCTCCTCTTCTGATAGGACCATAGGTTCAGAAGGAGTGGCTGAAAGTGGTGGGGCTTGGTATTCAGAAGTCTTCTCAGCTGTGCCTGGGGGGAGAGAGTGTTCATCCACAGAGGCCACATCTGGGGAATACAGCCCAGTGTCTTCCTTCTCTTCCTCTGACAAAACCACGTGCTCAGAAACACCTTTTGACTTTAATGAGGACTTATGGTCAATGTTCTTCAGTGACTCTTTTGTTGCCTGTGATGGAATTGAATAGTCAGAAGCAGATATGGAATCTGGTGTGTAATGCCCACTTCCTGCGGCCTCGGATTGGTATTCGGAAGTCTTCTCCATTATAGATGGTGAGAGAGAGTGTTCAGATGCAGAGGCCGAAGAAGGCTCAAATTCCTCATTCTCCTCCTCTGACAAAACCGCATGTTCAGATGTAGCTTTTACCATGGATTGAGAAACTGGCTCAACTTCTTGCTTTTCTAGTTCATGGTTCATATCCTGTGGGACTGAGTACTCTGATACGAAAGCAGAATCAGTAGAAACAGACTCGTTTTCTTCTATTTCTCCCTCAGACAAAGCAACATGTTCAGGTGTTGATGCTGTCAGCGATGGCAGAATGGGCTCCTCTTCTTTCTGCTCCACGTCAGGGGCCTCGTGGACTGGGAAGGGCTTTTCAGAAACAGATGGACTTTCTGGATAATCAAGTTCTATGATCTCTTCTTCCTCTAAATGAGAATCTTCAGGTTCAGGGGTAGCAGCTCTTGGTACAGAAGTCTCTATTTCTTCTTTTTCTGACACCAAGGGTTCAGAAAGAGAAATGGGTGGCTCAGGCACGATTTCTTCTTTCTCTCCTTTGGCATCGAGCTGAGGAGGGGTCAGTTGTTCAGAACCCGGTTCTGCCCTTTCTAGTGAAGTCAGATCTAATTCTTCTCTCTCTGGGCCAATGTCTTCCTGGATCGATGCTGCCAGACCTGATGAACCTGTTTCCAGAGAATCCTCCTCTGCCTCCTGTGAAATGGAATGATCAGTAGAATACACATCTTCCTTCTTTACTTCATCCATGAAAGGTGGTGAGACTAAAGATTCAGGCTCTGAAGGTACAATTTCTTGTGAATCAGGCTCGAATTCTTCCTTTGTTGTGGCAGATGTATCAGGCATAAGAGAGGAAGGCTCCATTTCATAGGGTTTTGCTTCAACACCTGGCTGCTGTGGCACTGACTGCGGAGGGCTGCGCCGTGTTTCCTTTGCTGTGTCATCACTTCTGTAAGAGGAAACTGTGTGCTTGGTGGCAGAAGCAGCCTTCAGAGGAGAATCTGGGTCAATTTTCTTTTGGTCTTCTCGACTGAATAAGGAGGGATGGGACTTCGATCCTTTGGAGAGTGCACTTCTCCAGGGTGAAGTAAGCTCTTTTCCTTTATCATCTTCTACACTTTGGCCTACTAATTTGCCTGTTTTAGAAACTATATTAGAATCACGATTGGCCATATCTGGCTCTAGACTAAGGGATGCATCTTTCCCCTTCCTATAATGTATTTCTTTAATTACATAACCCTTTGGCAATGTCCCATAAAATTGTAGGGGGATTAATTCTTCTTTAACTGAATTAAACATCTTAATTTTATATTGTACTGTTCCGATATAGACTGGCCGTAACACTAATGGCTTATGTTCTTTGTATATTGCTCCAGTAATAGGAGGTGTATTGGAGGTAGTTTTCTTTTTTCTCATTTTATCATAACTGCCAATAGATAACTTCTCATTCTGGGTATTTAGTACCTGGCTTTCCGAAATTAAAGGATTATCTTTTTTGTTTGCTGAAACATCTTGGGTTTCAAAAGAATTTCTTTTTTTGTTGCCTTTCCGACGCAAGGATGGTGAGCCATGCTTTGACTTAGATTTTCTTTTCCGGCCCTTTTTAACTTCATCCACAATAAAGGAAACATTCCCTGCAGTAGAGTTTATAGCTGACCCTTCCGGACTACCTATACCAGACGTCTGACTTTCTTCCGAAGCCCAAGGAGTGGAAGAACTACTCGAATTTGTTTCCCATGTTATTCCACTATCTTCCCGTTGAACTGTCACCATGGAAAAGGAGGGGTCAGATATAATACACTTCTGGTTGGTCTTGCCTTCTTCATCTTGGTCTGATAACCTACAGTAAAAAATATTTATATTAATAATTACATTATATTAATTACTTGTTAATTATAATTAAAACATTCTATTAATTACTTATTATAGTAAGTAAATATACACTTACCAGCGAAAGTATTAATGTGAAGTTAAAATATAGAGATAAATTTACCACCCATATAAAAAATAGAGAAGTATACAAAATAAAGTTTAAAAATTGTCAAATATAACAACACATCCTAGACCGAAATGAATCCATATCCTCAAACAAACAAACAACAACAAAAAAGCTAGCCTGACCTATGTGGCTCAGTGGTAGAGCATCAACCTATGAACCAGGAGATCACGGTTCGATTCCAGGTCAGGGCACATGCCCAGATTGTGGGCCCAATCCCTAGTAGGTATGTGCAGGAGGCAGCCAATTAATGATTCTCTCATCATTGAGCCTCTCTCTCTCTCTCTCTCTCTCTCTCTCTCTCTCTCTCTCTCTCTCTCTCTCTCTCTCGTCTCTCTTTTTTTCTCTCTCTCCCTCTTCCTTCCTCTCTGAAATCAATAAATATATATATTTTTTTAAAAACTAAAGTTAAATTCATCACCTCCCTTATCAGAATTACCCTCCCTACCTTGACCTTTCACTCAGGCTTCCTCTCTAGTCACCTGGCCCTTCATAATGGCTCTTGCACCTGTGCCCTCTCTGTTACTAAGCCACCCTGACCTCGAATTGTTGTTGTTGTTTTTTTAACTACATCACCTCTAGATTTTTACATCACATCCCTAACTGTTCAGCTGGTATTATATGTGCCTCTTATCTGCCCCCACCCTCAACTCATCTTGCATATCTTCCACCAGCTTTACTGAAAATTTTCATCATATCACTCCCTGCTCAAATAATCTCAGCAAATTCCTTCTACTTGTGGGGAAAAAACAAAGTTTAAAATCCTTAGTTCTCTGATTCCTAGCTCACTTTATTTCCAAGTACCCACCTCTATCATACCCCTATGTAATACATTTCTGTTTTAACTCTAAAATTTGTTGTCCATGAAATATATCATGGGAATTCTGAGTCAGGGCCATAAAGTGAAAACCCATCACAGAAAAAGAGAATATAGATCTCCAAATTGAAATTTTTAAAGTGAAAATGACTAGCCATCAAAGAGGAGCTAACAAAATGATAGCTTCCCTTATTTCACCACATCTTTGTTTTGAATTGGTACTCTCATTTTTTTTTTTTACTTAAAAAACAAACAAAAAAACACACTGCACTTCTAAAGAAGTAAAAAGGTCCTCAATTTTATTCTGAAAGATAAGAATTTTAAATTATTACATTTTGTTTCTATTAGGCTCAAGATACATATTCTAGGAACTGGTTATACCTACCTATGGCTAACAGCTAAAGTGACATTAAAGTCCCTTATAGGAATATAATTATGAACAATAGCTTAGATTTGCATGTTGCTTTATTCTACTCTCCAACAATCTCAGTACACTAACCAGAAGTGTAACAAACAAAACAAGGTCATGAATAGAATTTTTCCCAAGTAAATCTGTTAAAGTGCATTATATATCAATTAGAGGTACAATGCATGAAATTCCTGCAAGGGCTTTGGTCCCAGACCCTGCCCGCTACAGCCACAGCCACAGCCTCTGTCACCGCCCCACCCAGCTTTGTCTGAAATTTAGGACGTCTGGTCTAATTAGCATATTACACTTTTATTATTGTAGATTGTTAAAACACAGCAATAAAGTCACTTATGATCCTGCTTACATTGCAAACTTTGAAAACATGTTTTTAATGCAATAAAACACCAAGCAAACTTGTAATCTTATAATACAAATTGTTACTATTTTGTGAGGGCTTTAAAAAAAAGAAGCAAGAATTCTTAAAAGCATAGTCTCTAATTAAAATCTCAACAAGAATGAATTGAATCCTTATGTCTTTAGCAGAAAATTAATTATATGCATTGCTGAACAAAAGTAATGCGAAGTAGCTTAGATTAAACAGTGCTCATAAACCATTAGGGAATTAAGACAAAATATCCATGTAACTATGAGTGAAAAAATTATGACACAACATTATCATGCTCTAGTATAAGGTGCTTATTTTGTAGATATACTAAAGACCACAGGGATTCATTGTGGATCAGAAGAATAAGTACCTTATTTTCACAATGACCAGACATTTTACAAGCCTAGAAGTTAGGGCTTGCTACTGTTGGAACCCAGGTATCTTTCTAGTTTTACTTTCCATTCTTCCCTTCGTAAACAGACCAATTTTAAAGTGCAATACCCATGATCATAAACCATGTGCTCCAGCCAAACACTGGCCTTCTCCCTCATGTCTTTGCTTACATCCTTCTCTTCACTTGGAATAAATCATTTCTATTTATCCTAACTTTACTCTCTTCAGAGACCAGCTCACATATCAGCTTCTCCATGTAGCCATCACTGATGCTATAAGCCAAAGTAATTGTCTTCCCTTGAATTTCTGGAATCTCAATGTAATCTCTTCCTAAGGCATTTATGCCCTACATAAGAGGTTTTTTTTTTGTTTTTTTGTTTTTTTGTTTGTTTTTTTTTACATATATCATAGCTACACTACAAGGCCATAAACTACCTGTGAGCAGGGATCATGTGGGTTAGCAGTTCTTTTAAGGGCTCTTATGAAGTCTTCCCAATACATTCACCTTTGTTTTCAGAGGAACAGCTCTTATTTTTGTACACATATTTCATCAGCTTCAGTAATATTTAAATAGATCATGTCATAATAACCAGCACAACTAGTATAAAATGGTATGAAAATAATCACAACTGGCCCTTAATAAACATGAAACTCAAAATAATGGGTATTATTAGACAGCAGCCTTCTATCAGGAGTGGTTAGTTTGCTTTGGGCATTTTATAGATAATGTTTTCTCTGTTTTACAGAGAAAATGGGGAGTTTGGGCTATTCCTGTCAATTAGGTTTAGTGGAAAGTAGTTAAGAGCTTATTGTACTCTTTCTGTACATTTCTAGTTTCCATTCATTAGTGCTCACAGGCATGGAATTTTTGTTTCAGAAGAAGTTCAAAACTGCAAAACTTTTTCAATCATCATTGGTTTTCAACTGATTTCAAATTGAAGCTAAAGTCATGATTCATTCACTGAACAAGTATTTAATGAACTCTGAATATGTACTAGGCAGCATGCTAGGCATGTGGTATAAATTTTCTAAGAGATCTTAAAATTAATTTCAAATTAACCGTTTTGATCTGAGCTACAGCTTTGTGGTAGAACTATAAATTACTTTTTTCTTACTTTATTCATTGGAAATCTAGGATGTGTTTGCATGCTGCCTCTAAAGGCAGCTCCACAGCAAAGCAAACCGGGACCTTGCCTAAGCCCTCATCTGTGCAAGAGCATCGCTAGACACAACCAACGTTCTCCCAGACTAGCTTGAATGTGAACATTTTCCTGCTTCTTTTATACAAGGGTGCAAGATAAAGATACATATCTTTTTTAGCTTTTTAAAGGGAGTTCTTTTTGTCTATAAAAATCTCAAAATACATGATAGCAATCTATTTTAAATTATTACTTGAGACACTAATTTCTCATTCCATTGCTTCTTTCCATGTAGAAGAACATCTGTTATAACACTCCTTCCTGGCCTACCTTCCCTCTATCACTCTTCCCCAGTTTACTCTGTTCCTGGTGCTATAAAGTATACAAGGCAGGTCCTCATGTGAAAAGGTTTTCAGAGCCTGTGACTTGGGATATAAATTTGGCTATTTCTGCTCTGGTCACTGTGGCTCAGTTGGTTGGAGCATCATCCAGTACCTTAAAGGGTGGCATGTTTGATTCCCTGTTAGGGCACACACTGGATAGGAGGCAACCGAACTGATACTTCTCTCTCTCTCTCTCTCTCTCTCTTTCTCTCTCTTTCTCTCTCTCTTCCTCTCTTTAATGTCAATTAAAAATATATCCTCCAGTGAGGATTTTTTCAAAAAATCTGGCTATTTCTGAAATTTGGTATTAGAAAGCACTTTGTTGTTTTGTATCTAAGCCACATTTTCTGATATCATTAGCTTTATCAGTAAAAAAGTTGACATTTTGATCTGTATCTGCCATTCCTTTGATTTATCTATCAATTGCTTCAGAACTTAGGGAGGAAAAAGAGGGTGCTGTGTGGCAATTCTACTTGCCATTTTACAAAATAAATAAATGATCACATATACTGCAGTTGGTAGAGCCAAAAGAACATCACCTGACAGCAAGAGCAGATATGATAGCTAACCTACATGCTTGCTAGTATCCACCATAAAGTGATATGCGGACCCATCAGACTAAGAAGAATTCACCTGTCAGAACTCAGCAATGCTCTAATCACATAAGTCTCCTTCACAAGCATTCAGGCAAGTGCACACCTTGTTTTGCACAAGCTTTCAGAACTCCAGAACCACAGTGATTGACATGAAGCTTCATAAGCAACAGAAACCAATTTTAAAGCAACACCCATGGTCAGTGGTAATATTATATTCATGGCAAAAATGTCTATAAGCTACAAAGAATAAGTGTTGACTATTTGAGTCAGATGGTGCAAAAAAGAAAAATAAAGTGATATTCTTAAATGCCTTATGTTTCTTTAGCCTAGGTCTTAGGGCAATGCTAGGTCTAAGGCTGCTTCTGCTGCCATCTGCTAACAGGAGGAAGGAGACCTAGATTCTAGTGCTTGCTCTGTCATTCACCCAGTGTCTGATTTTCAGCATGGAAATATAACAGTCTCCCATGTTACTTAAATTCTAGTAGAGGGAAGACAGAAAAAAACAAAGCAAATGACCAAATGTTAGGTGGCGATAAGTTCTATGAAGAAAATAAAACAAAGTAAGTGGAATAGAGGGTGATGGTTATGCGTTTTGGTACTATATTATGTAGGGTGGTCAAGGAAGATCTCTCAAAGAGATTTTGAGCAGAGATCTGAAAGGAGTGAAGGAGTGAGCATGAAAATATTAAGAGAAAGAGCAGAGCAAACAACAGTATTAAAAT